GCGAGCAGTGGAAACACTCTACGGGGGGGGGGGGACTTTTTTATCTCTAGCTTATGTTGAACTGGATTTTATGGTTTAAGTGCAAAGAACATGATATTTAATAAATAAAGGTAACAAACAAAACGTTAAAAAAACGCCCTATTGGACGTAATTTAAAATCTGAAAACTTTCAAATTTATTTATTTATTTTTTAATCCAAAGGAGCTATTTGCCCAGAAGGACTTTTAATTTCGCTTTTGGATTTTGTGTCGATTGATGGTTAGCGTTATTTCATTTTTCATATTGTAGCGGGCCCACCAGCGGCCGAGCGGTAAAGTCGCTGAACACTGGTAGTTCGGTCCGAGGTTCGAATCCCGCGAACGGGCTGGCTGCATGGGTGTTTTCGTGGTTTTCCCCATGTGTAACGTGTATACGAACCAGTTTCCCCTAGAAAGTCATCCACGAAGGCATCCCTTCTTTTAGGCAGATAGCCCTAGTGTGCTTTGCCATAATTAAATACACCACACCATCATATTGTAGCCACCAAATTTTATCGCCCTGTATTATATAAGAAATTAAATAATGAAGAATCAGCATGAATGTATGTATGTTTCTTGCGTTGTGATAAAACAACGGTACCTAGAGCTATCAAAATTTGAATAACGTAATCTTCCATAGAATACGGGCACGTGGAAGTCCTAACTTGAATTTGAAATTTGTTTTATTATCGATTTTATATTTTGTAACACTTCAACGAACTTTTGTTTAACAAACTAATCGATTTCAAAGCGAGCAATGACAACACTGTACGGGGGGGGGGGGGGATTTTTATCTCCGGCGGGCGAGACGCTGTATCGGAAATTCTAAAGATATGACTATTTTAAAATTATTTTGCAATATTGCTGTTGAACTGAGTTTTATAGTTTAAGTTCGAAGAACATGATATTTAATAAATAAAGGTAACACACAAAATGTTAAAAAAAGCCCCATTTCACGTAATTTTAAATCTGAAACCTCTCAGACTTTTGTTTTTTGTATTTTATTTTTTATTGTCCTTCTGGAATTTGTTTAAAGTTGCTTGAAATATCCAGATTTTTGGAAATTATGAAACTTCACAGCCAGGCTGAAGCCGATTTTAAACAGTATACCAGAAAACCTTTTTTTTTTAAACTGGTGGCAATGATATCTCGAAGACTGATGAATCGATATTTTTTATTGCTGACTTGGTAATTAAATTCTGTACAACTGGAATAAAAAACGACTCATTTATTTTTTAATTATAAAAGTCTAAAACTGATTATTTACCCGCTACGCAACCTTTTCAGTACTATTATAAGGTATTTCTCCTATTTAGTATTTCCTTCTTAGCGTGCCTTCGTGGTGTAGTGGTTCTGCACGCTGGGCCGGTATGCGGAAGTCCGTGGTTCTGTTTTCGGCGAAGGCGATTGCTAATTTTTCATCTTGCCTGCTTCCAAAAAATACCTAATAAAAATACCTACTACACTATGATCATTCCAAATTTTTATCATAGAATTTAGAATCATAGCGATTCTTTTTCCGCTAATAAAAATTATTTTGTTTCTCCAGTTGAGATCAATGCGTATTCTGTAGTCGTGATTTCATTCATGTTTAACTGACCTGACTGTGCTGACTGATATTGCTACTGTTTCATATTTTTTTAAAAACCATTAAAAATAAAATGTTAAAATATAATGGTTATGCAGAATTTATAGCTGTTTGTTTACTTCTCTAAAGGAAAAAAAAGATTAAATAATTTTTAGATGTTTTGTAAACGAGAGTGTTTTCGCTTGGTATGTGAAAAGAAAAATGTATTGGTATGTTTTGAATAAAGGAAATATGCACTGGTTGGTCACTTTTCCTTCGTAATTTTAAAATATAGTCTTGTTTGATTACTGAGATTAAATTGGATTCTCTGCAGTTAATTTTTACAACGGTGAAGTTATTTCTAAAATTCGATACAACTAAGCAATCTACAAAATCACACACATTAAAAAAACAAATAAGAGAAACTTGCATAAGAACACCGCTATGATTCCAGTCTGTGAAAAGAATACCTGTCCTCAATAGCATATTAATTATAATGATTCCAAAATTTAACGATACATTAAGTTTTCTAAAATTCAAATAAATAGTTCTAACTTATTTTGATATTTTTTTACTTTTTTGTACGAAGTAAAGGAAGTATTATAATCACGAAAAATTCGGGTACCATATTTGAACGAAAATATCAATTTTGACCGCTATCGAATACAATTTAACGATGTTTTTGCGTGACATCTGTACGTAAGGACGGAATAAAGGACTCTTTTTTTTTTTTTTCCTCAAGCGAATTATAAAACTGATTTAAAATGGATTTAGAAGAGACTATTTTCGTGGCCCGTCTGTAAGTACGTATGTATGTATTTCGCGTAACTGAAAAACAAATAGCCTCAGAACGTTATAGTTGTAAAATTACCAACAATTTAAAAGTTGTGTAAGTGCGTCTAAGCCTTTTTTTTTTTTTTTTTTTACCACATCATTTTTACCACATGTTTACATTTCAAACTTAGCAGAATAGTGGATTTGTTGCCAATCTTGAGAAACTAAATTTCGCAACAACAAAGATAACGCCTTCTTTCATTATTGCGCATTAAATCATGCTTAATCCATTCTGGAATTATCATTTACGTTATTAAATTATCCTATATATTGACTCAGCATAGCATGCACAATAAATTAAGTAAGTACTATACCTTCCGTGCTTTTTGCCGAGTGAGACCAAAAGTAATCTTTCAGTTTTGTGTATCGAAAAATATGCCTTCTTGCTCGCTGGCCGAAATGCTTGTTTTTGCGTAAAAGCTCTAATTTGAATCGTAAAAGTTGTTCTTTAAATTATTTTAACTGTATTTATGTTTTATATTTTTCAATTTTTAGTAAAAATATTTTAAGGTTTTATGCATTTTTGCCTTGTCGAGAAGTGAAACCTGAATTAATTGAATGAGAAATATATCGCTTGTGAAATTCGAGGAAATAAGTTTAAATGGAATGCAGGAAAAAATGCGTATAATGTAATATTCTGTACAAGGAAGTCATGTGGTGTGCACATCAGGTTTTTTTTACTTCATGGGTTAAGTGAATAGTGATGGTATACCGAAAGATAAAAACAATGACTTGAAACCAAACGAGCGAAACATTTTTTGTAGACCAATTGCAAATGTTTTACTCAAAAGTTTATGAATAAAGCAGTGCATTCTATTATTTCGAAACTTGGTTGTTTCTCATATGCCACTAGATCTTTAAAATTTTAGCAATATCTTTCTTATTTCTGTTGTGCATCCTAATGAAGAATTCTTAGCTATTTTTTCGGAAACATCACGAAAGGTTTGGGCACAAATATCTGTGATTACAGGAGTTGTACTGGAAGCGTCAACGCATACTATTTCATTGCTATTTCTCAACTGCATTTACGCTAACTTTCCTTCCTCATTCACCGTTATTTTCAGTTAGTTCATTTTTACTGTACCATACAATTGTTTCCTGGACACAGAAATGGCTTCATACTTTGATATTCGCAATTTAGTGAAAGATTCCTTATCCTCCTTGTAGAGTCATTAGATTATTTTTGAAGCAGGTGACATGAAAAATGAGCAATGCCTCGCCGGGACTCAAACCTGGACCTCTCGAATACGCGCCAAGTCTGCTACCGTTACACTACGAAGGCATGCGGAAAGAAGGGAGAAAATATTTTATTATTGGGTTTATATACTCCCAATAAGGTATTTTCTCTTTTATTGAGAGTATATAAACCCAATAAGGTATATATTTCTGTACTTTATTATAAACACCCCCTTTTAAAGTGCGTGTTGGAATTAGGGAACCCAATCGCCAAATCCTAGTGGTGACGAATTATTGTCCTCCACCTGTCAGTTCACGAGCCTCTATAGTTAGGTTATACAGAGTGCAGGAGATGTGAAAAAATGTGCAATGCCTTCACCGGGACTAGAACCTGTACCTCCCGAATACGCACCGAGTGTGCTACTGTTCCACGAATGCTGAAAGGAGGAAAAATGAACTTTCTTATAACAATGCTCTTTTCAAGATTTTACACTCACGTCTTCAGTCAAGAACACCAAAAGCAGTATTTTTATGCATCCACCAGAGCAGTATTGTTATCCAAGAACACTCTTTTCCCGCGTTTGATACGCAAACATTTACCTAGATTCGCTGGAGTTTTAAATATTAATGGTATTTTAAAGAATTATTTTTCATGCTTATTCGCAATTTCCTTTACTCAGTATTTTCAATATTTGTACATAATCATCGAAATTTGTTTTATGTTTGTCACTTCCAGTTTATTAAATTAAATGTGAAAATTTGCGCTCATAGTCCTTCCCAGTTCTCGGAGTCGCTCTGTAATCTCAGTAAGCTAGTAAATTTTCCTTTTTTGGGAGGGGGGAGGGGGGAGACTGTTTTGTTTTGTTTCTCTTTTTACAGAGTTTCCTTTTAGGGAGGGAACTTAACTGTCTTCTGAAATCGCCATGGAATTTTTCGCTATAAATGCATAGTTAAATATATAGCATGCACAAATATTAATTTTCTTAAGTCTAAAATGAGAACGGCTCTGAATATATCTGTAATAAAATGTTAAGTTTCTATTCATTATAAAATAAGATGAAACTGAATTTAATTAAATTTTGTGAAGGATACTGGATTTAAAATCCTACGTTGTTTGTAATGAGGTTTGATAAAAAGTAAGCATATTTTTAGATGTACCAGCATTTATTGTTTGAAAAACATAAAATTTTGTTACCAGCGGGGAAAAAAACTGTTTCATTGTTATTCTAAAATTTATTGTTGCTGTACGTTCATTTGAAATTTTAAATTCCCAGTTTTACGCAGATCTCGCTCAATTTAGTTTCAGGTTCACTATTATGTTCCTTCGAATTCGACAAAAATTTCATATTCATGGCCAGGCGTCTTTTCCCTGAACTAAGCGCTCTCCCACACTTAAAGCTGCGTTTTACAGTAACTATTTTCAACTTTTGTATCTGCAGGCCCACCTGCTGCGCAAAAAAATCAACCGAGCGGCGAAAAAGAAAAACGTTTAAAAAAGGAAGTCTCATCTAATGACTGCGCCCAGCTCCGAAACTCCAAGAAGGATTCTTGCTGTTTTGTCTACCTTACGCGCCAATCTCAAACCACTGCCAGCATGGAGAAAGATGTCAAGTGAGATTTTTCCCTCTATTACTTAATTAAGTGACATTTATTTTAACTCTTTTATTGCGTTTTTTTGTGGTGTCTCTTCTCACTAATTGTCTTGTGCATGTTTGTGTAATTGCCTTGATCAATATTTTTAATTTGGTGTTCATAACTTAACTGAAGCCTTAGACGGCATTTTATTTTACATATTTCCCTACCTAATTCGAAGCAATCTAGCTCTTTCATTAAAATAATTTATAGGCAGAAGTTTTACGTTATAATTACATTAACTGGTGAGCATTTTTAAAGCTCGAAACTTTTCTATTTATTAATATCTAATTGATATGGTAATTTTTTTTTATTAAATCCATGGCTAGTTTATTGCTTATTTATGTTATCCTTTAAGATATTTTAAAAGTATATTAGTTCCTCAGTGTAATTGGTAGTTATTGTAAACTTAAGTCTTCAAATGAATTCAATATGCTCATTTTTGTTTTTTGCTTTTATTTAAATTCCGAATTTTATTGAAGAATTCTCATGCATTATTGCATAATTGATTCTAATATTGGTAAATATTAAATAGATACATATCTTAAAAGTAGTCATTGTTGTTTAGAGTTTAACTGTACCTCGCTCACAATATTTCTTATAACTATGTGAAGAAAATTAAGTTTAGGTGTTTTTTTTTTTTTTTTTTTTTTTTTTTTTTTTTTTTTTTTTAACTTTTGAGCAAGTAACAAATTCTGGACATGCATCTTATGAATTTTTTACACTTGTCTGTTTGCAACAGAAAATTAAAGAAATATATTAAGATTAACTGTATTTCTCCACTAAATTCTAACATCTGTTAAGCTGTATATAGATTTAAATAATGTTAGATTTTTAATAATTAAGGCTTCGAGTACTTTGTTCATATTTTTTCGAAGATAGGCTGTAATGCAATAACAATACATTCTTCCATTCTAAATTTAAGATGAAAATTAGTCTAATGTAATAGTAACTTTGCTAGGAGAAGTTATACCTCACCCCCCTTCCCGATTACTTTCAAAAAAAAAGTTTTTCAAGCTTGAGCTTCCAGTGTCTCTGGGAGAGAAGATATGTATGCGAATTTTGTCATAAAAATTATATATAATTCCAGTAGACCCGATTAACAATGATAAAATCGGGGACGACACCCACCGAAAATCTGGTTATTCCGAAGGCAGTTAAAATATTATAATAATAATAATAAACAGGACAAAGCAACAATCCATACTATAATTAACATAAAAATATGTTTAATATTTACCTCGATTTTTAAGCAGTTTAATTTGGAGGATAAGCTCTTTTGTTATGTAAACTGAATTTGTGTTAAAAAAGCAAAAAGGGCACTCTTCAAACAGAAAGAATATTTTTTTTTTTACCTTGCTGTTGTATTTGGAGAGGAATGAACAGAATATGAATGGCTGTATAATTAATTACATTGTTATTTTTGTGTTTCCCGCAGAAATTTTACTGCACTCTGATGTTTTTTTTCCCCCTCTCCATTTACGAGCTTTTTTATTCGTTATTTTATATTTATTATTCGTGATTACTAATATTTGTTTGTTCTTTGTCACAGCACATACAATTTTTTTCTTTTCTGTTCATTGCAAACTTGTTTAACAATACTAAACAGAAAGAAAGAAATTTAAGTTTGAAAAGTAAGGCCAGACCTTGAGGGAATTCTGAAACTTATATTATTATATTATTGCAGGAAAATGTCTCATATTTGAGACGTGATCTTTCACGTTTCTTGTGCCAGTCAGTATGCTGATTATGAACTGAATATGTAAGAAGACATGTCATGCGATGAAGAAATATCAGAATAATAATGTGTTTTAGAGCAAGTTATGTTTATAGGATTCAATATAAGTATCAATAAATTTAGCTGTGACTTTAATTTCTCAGTTAATCCGACAGCAGTTAAAAAAAGGGGGGGACCATATTATTACAGTCCACAAAAAGCTACTATTACCAATCAAGCTGTATTTTTAAACAGTTTGATAAGGAGAATAAGTTCTTTTGGTTATGCAAATTAAATCAACATTCAAAACAAGATCACATTCATTAGCATTTTGTTTATTTTACTTTAATATTTCAGTAGAAATCAATGGGCTGTTACAATTAATTTATTTTTTACGATTAAGCAATTTATTTTTAACTGGTGATTTCACGATAGTTATATATCCGTGATTATGTGCATTTAAATTACGTACTGTTGTGGAGAAAATCAATTCCTAAATATTGTAAAATGTCTGCTCTCATTGCTGTTATCCTTATGCATGTTCTGCTCCTATTTCTATTTTCACGTAGAAAGTATGCTTTATTCTGATGGTTTATTACATTTTTTCATCTTCTTAAATATCTGGAACTTAAACTTCTATTTTAGACAAGGTTCAGCTATTAAAGTGTTCGGACTGAAGTGTCAGGTTTTGTGACACGGTTGGCCTTTGGCGATGAAACGCTTCATATTTAATAATATTCTCTGGTGTTTCGATTGAGGTTTGCAGGTAATTTTAACTAATCCCTGCTCCCTGAATATGTAGCATTAGCTATCTTTTTTCCAGACCTGTCTGATGTTAAATTTTGGAAAGTCATGATAAGGGAAGTAGCGTAAAGAAGGGAGAAAACACAGTTTGGCTGTGATGGGCTTGGTGCAGACATGTGCTCATATTCTTCTCCTCTCAAATCGTCAGTGATTCCGATCTTCTGATTGATAGGTTTAACTGAACATCCGCAAACTCTAGTTACGCTTCTTTGTCTATTATATTGTAATTATTTTGTTAGCATTTATCTCATGAAAATACTGAGAAGCTCTCTGATACTGAGAAATCTTTCTTTATATTCTATTGAATTTATCAGGATGTGATTTTACAATTGACAAACTAAAACACTGCTCATCTTCAAAATTTACCGGTCTGTGTGGTTATACGTGTACTTTTCTGTTTTCTTTGTAATAATTGTTGATTCTCACTGGTGACACATTGAAGACAGAAACAGAATTTTTATGGCTGTATTAGAGATCTAACATCATGCCTAAATCCAAAATGATGGTACAGAAAAATACCATCTATAAATCTCTTTTTTTGCTCGGTTTTATTCCCAAGCAAACTAGTACGGGGGCATTCAATATCTAGGCAAGCAAGCAAAAGTAAGCATTATTTCAGCTGTTGACAGTTTGATAAAACTTGCCTCAAAATTTCATTGATATCTTCATGTAAATATGTAATAGGTTTTTATGTATAGCCTTCCTAATGACCTGACAATACTCAAGTTCGAAAATTTCATTACACTCCTTATGGTGATGTCGCATAACAATTTATCACGATATACCGGTCGGGGAATACTACATTAAATCATTTACACCACAACTTTTACAAGTTTGCCTATTGCATTTCACTTTGATTTATACTTTGTTTTCAAAAGTTAAAGAAATACACCACAATAAAGTCATAACTATTCGCAGTTGGGTTGACGAAGCAACTATAATAAATAAAATGTATTTAGATATATTTGTTATCATTCATATATGTGCATCATATTTTAAACATCCTTATCCCAAAAAATTATTTTTAAAAATAATTCAAACATGAAACTTGTCTTAATGAGAGAGTAATAACCTCTGAACATCATCTAAGTTGTACAGCGACGTTCCATAATTTCAATAGAACTTTCAAAATCAGAGGTGATCATTTTGTTTTTTAATATCACTGTTTCCAGTTCTTTGAGACTACTTGGAAGGGCTGCATGGTCTTAAATAAAGATCCAGTATACAACGTAAATCCAAAAGCATGTCAAAGGCTTTCGATGCACTTGAGTTCTGTCGAATGTGGTGCATCCAAGCAGTGCCTTCGCTCATACAAATCAGCAACCAGATTTCCTTTATGTAGACATACTTATCATCCATAACAACAAATGCCTGGCCAGCTTCTAAATCGTACATCCACATAATGGATCAAGGACTTCATTCTGATTCCTTTGAGATGTCAGAATACTTTCAGTAAAAGTATATAGGTCAGTGCGATAACTCAGTGAAAACCCAGTCCACACCATTATTCTGGCAGCACTGAAGGTGGGATATTCAATTATATTAATGATGTTACTCGGCTTGTTTTGCATTTCTTATATTTTTCCAAATCCTCACACACTTATTACAAATTTCCAGAATTAATTTTGAACTTATCCCTGAGCAATGCGTCAACCCATTCATTGGCTTTTCAGTTCGTATGCTGATGGCTCCATTTCTACCTGCTTCTACAGCCTCGAGATCTTTTTAAAAAGACTGGTACTCAGAAAACAATCCATTTATATGCAGTCTTTTACAGTAGTTGGAGGTATTGATCTTTCAGTTGTTTTTCATAACTTCTATTAAATAGGAGACGTAAAAAATGTGCAACGGCCTCGCCGCAACTCAGACCTGAACCTCTCGAATACACACCGAGTGTGCTACCATTACACCATAAAGGCGTGCTGGAAAAATGGAGAAAATACCTTTTAAAGTCATACACACTTATCAAGAGAGGCATCGGTAACTCTGGGATGGTATGGAACTGGTGTCCAAATAATTGATCTGAAATTGTTTCCAAAGGGGGAGGGGAACTAAAATTGGTTAACAGCAACAACAACATAATAATGACGATATTTTTTAATACTTGTTGCATGCTACACCGTCAACACATCAATATTAGATCAATCCGGTCGCCCTGTTTTTGAGTCATAATTAATCTCTTCTAATTAAAAAGTAACCAGCATAGTTTTTCAAAAATTTTTGGTTCTGTCTACAACTGTAGTGCGGTAAATTTGGAGCATACATTTCGAAGCTCAAAATTTGCATCACATATGTAACTTTGAAACGCAGAGTACTTCATCCATGCATTCAAATGGAATAGTACTTGAAGTATGTTAATTCATGCCAAATATAATAGTAAGAATTGCTTAGTGTAAATATAGAACGTGAACTTTTCATGCGTTGTTTTTCTGTTAGAGAGATGGAAATGTGGCTGAACCAGTTTACTAGACGATCTTAAGGACAGTGTAAAAAAATTCGCTATATATGTGAATTTACTTTTAAAATATGCCTGAAAAGATAACTAAAAATGCAGGAACGTCTTTAGCTATTCGATTATAAAGTGAATGATGATTTTTGCTTTGATTACATGCTAAAATTAAATTCTTTAGGTAGTCAATATTTTTTGCTGCTCCTTTTGATAGTATACGTTTTAAAGAACTTCACTTTATCAGACTTCAAATTTCCTTTGCAAATGTTACTACATTTGCTTTGAATCTTCACCTTTTGAAGTTTCTTAAGCGAGCTGGTTGGGCAAAGATGGGCAACTAAATAAGGAGTCAGTCTGGACACTGGTCGAGATCGGTGTCAGAAAACTAGTCGGATTCTTTTTCCACTTGACAGTAGATGAGAGAGTAAGTCTGACCATTGCCTCCTAGATAATGGTCTGACTCCTTCAAATTCCATCTGTATAAAATCAAGTGGAAATTCCGTGCGGAAGTGACGTTTTGCATACTAAACAGTATGTCTCACCACTACCAAAGAACATCTATATTCTTTGCCTCTACATTGCTCGAGGCTCAGGGGATAGGGTAGTTTGTTGTCAAAAGTGCTGTTTCACGCGTGCTTATCACTGAGGATGGGGGTAGGGAAAAAAAAAAAAATACTATTATCAAACAGTTCGAGTAAATGGTGGAATTTTTCGATAAAATCCGCAGCTGTTAAGTGGTAAACTTGGTAGCACATTTAGTAAAGAGAATCGAAAAAAGAAATGGAAAGAGTTAATGGGTATTTTTAAATGCAGAAAGAAATGTCCTTTCCGAAACTGCAGATATGTGAAGAAACATAAGCATAATTTTACGTATGATCTTTTGCAAAATGGAAATTTTTGAAAAGGTTACATGTTTGTAAACTATTTGTCAACAGGAATTTTATGATTAAAATATTTTTCTGTCTTAAAAGGTTATGCAGCAATGTCATAAATCAAATCATTGAAATATAGCATTGTGTACGTGTGTTTAATATTCCTATTGAATTTGAATAAAAAATTTGTTTGTTGCCTCCTTTACAGGGACGGAGAGTTACTAAGAATTTGCGCAATTTTAGCAGAATGTCCACTATCTTTCATTCAATTTTAGTCAACTTTCATGGTCGACAGATTAATACATAAGAAACAATATTTTTCTCAATTTGGTAATTAGCATTTCAAGGACTTACTAAATAAGTTTTCTGCACCCTTCCAATTTTCCTCCATGGATAGCATCCATTTAATGTGCATTTAAGCTGAATGAAATTCACAAAATATTTTGAAGATATTTTTTAACTCTAAAAAGAGAGAATCATGTTATATTAACCCAAAATGAATAGAGTCTCCCCCCCCAAAAAAAAAATTAAGGCTGATATAAAGCTTTTAAACTTGTGATTTTTTCTTCGATTTATTTATTTTACAAATGCCAAACATTAGCGCTTAAGCCATTGGTTCACGGGCTTTCTGGTACTTTTTAACAATGTCCTCATACCGAGAAAGTGCAGTACAATTATTTAAATGTTCAAAAATCATAGGCTGATTGGAATCACACAAAATACAGTTTGGGGAACCTACCACTCCAATTCTGTAGAGGTGGTCTCACAAATAGCCATGTCCGGTCAGACATCTAAATAGAGCTACCACTGTCTTTCTTGGAAAACTGGGAATTAAAGTTGTCTCTTCTTCTAGAATCCTTCAACTCTTATCCATAGCATGTTGTGTCATATCCTGCTTAAGAATTTTCTTAAGAGTCAGATTAATAAACAGTTTAGTCGTATGAAATGAAAGCAATCGATTAATGCATTGCATTATGAAAGTTCTTTTCTTAACCAAAGTATCAGCTTTTTCATTTCCCATAATTCCACAGTGAGCTGAAATCCATTGGAAAGAAATTCTGTGTGCCATTGCTTTAAGCCTACAGTCTAAGATTCTTTGGGAACTATTTTTATTATTCAGAAGAGTTAGCACACTTTTAGAATCTGACAATATGACTGCCGTTACAAAAGAGTGGCTACGAATCGGGGTGTAACGTAGCAGGCCTCCTCGTGGTACACCCTGGATAATGCTAAATCTGCTACAGCTTTGCCATTCTCTTTTATCTTCTTATTGATGATGACTAAAAAAAAGAACACAAATTGTCCTTTTAAGGACATGCAACGATTGAGAATTCTCCAATGGAATGCTTTTTTCTTCGAAAATTTTTATTATTGAAGTTATGAAGTCATTTCATATGTAAGTTCAAAATGAGATACATACATAAGATTTTATTACAAAAATGATATTATAGAAATCAAAAATTCTATTTTTATTTCATTTGATCTTAATATACATAAATCAGATTTCTTAATATTGATAATGAGCTCGGCATTTTGTGAGAATTCTCAGAGAAGTTTCTCTCTGCTATTAGCAAATCCAAGTGAATGTAGCCATACTCCATTTCACTATTAACATTGTTGCCATTCATATCATAGCTTATACACTGGCAGGAAAAATTAAAGTTACCATATAGACGAATGTAATTTGAAGAATTTTGCATCTGTGAACATGGAACGTGCTAAGATCTTTAATTTTTTGTGCATTACATGCCTTCGAAATGCAAAACTGCATATTTGTGCAAGAAATAAATGTTAATAAGAACATATAAAATGTGATAAAGTATATTCAGAAAACTACTTGATGCTCATAGATAGTGCTATGAGGGAGCTGCAGTTATGTCTATCAGCATTCCATTATATCCTACACATCCTTTCTATGTATCCCACACATATTCCATCGAATTTAAATCCAGAGAATATGTGGGCTACTCCATCTGCTAGATTCCTTCATATTCAAGAAAGTCAGTCACGAATGTGATGAGATACAGACAAATATTATCACCCATTAGGAAGGTGTTGTAGATTACATTTCTAAACAACTTAACATAAGGATTAAGGATTACATCTCTGTATTTCAAGGTTTCTCAACCAGCAAGGATTTCATAGTTTCAGGGAAAGAATACGGTTCGTGTATTTATTTGCATGTTAAGTATTTAGTTTTAATTTATGAATATAAAAAACTACTTTTATTCGAATTTCGTCTTATCAGCATGTTCTATACTTTTTCTTGAATTTATTTATAAAAATATTAAAAATAATCTGAATTTAATAAGTTTTTGAAAGGAGAGAGGAAATGATTGTCTAACAGTAGTGAAAAGGGTGCCTGGGACAATAAAGGTTGAGAACCATTGTTGTATAGTTTAGTATTCATAGTTGTAGTGGTAAAAATGTATAGGTCAATGCATCCTTCAAAATAATGCCTGCCCATTCCATGATCTCAACACTTTTATAGAGATGCTTTTAATAGATGTTTTCAGTCTTATTTACATGTATTTTGCCCTCTTCAGATTGTAACATGTTTGGAATTGCCCTCCAAACAAAAACAAGACTCATCAGTAAAGAGAATTCAGTACCAGTTCATAGAACTGCAATCATGATGGTCTCTGCACTACGATCGAGTACATTTTACAAGCAAAGTTAATGGAATGCAAATCATAGTCTTCTTTGCATGCAACCCTTTCTTATGGAGCCTGTCACTCATGGTTTGCCTGGATATTCAAGTTCCTGTAGCTGCAATGAAGTCTCATGCAGTCTGGGTTGACATCAGTTGTTTGTTTCTTTTAACAGTTGTTGCCAAATAAAATGGCCATGAGATTGTGTTGTGCTATGTTTTTGGCCTTGATCTGGTTGTCTTGCATACATTAGTGTCTTTAAATTGTTTCCATATTCTTTACATGATACCTTTTGCTACTTTTAGGTCTTTACAGATATATGTTGGTGTCTTTCCTGCTTCTATTCTCTCAACCGCTTGTCATTTTTCTGTTTCTGAATGACATGTTCTACTTCCCATTAAAAAAGTATTATAAAATATTGGAAATAAATGCAAGGAAGTATACTTGTTATAACCTTAAGAGATTACTTTATATTACATATTTATTTGCACATTAATTATTTTCATATAAATAATGTTGAATGTAAACATTAAAAATAAAAGATCATAACTTTTTTTTAAATTTAGTAATCTTTCTTATGTCAAATTACTTAGTAAACTTAAGTTACTCATTTTTTAATTCAGTGTGCAAAATTTTGTACCAAATGTAGATTTTATTCCCATAACTAACTCCCATGAACTGGAATTTTTGCAAAAGCTAGTATTAAACTAGCATTTAATATTAGCTTGTCTTTTGAATGCTTTTCCCATTTAGAAGCAGCTAGCTTATTTCTATGTATCCTATTTTTATTTTCAGAAATGTGGTAACTATGTATTTAGTTTCTTCTCTTATCAATTTTTGTTCAGTTTGTTACTTAGAAGGATAAAGTAATCTTAGCATATGTAATGTTGAAAAGTGTAAAAGATAAAAATTTTATAAAGAAATTATATTACTAATTTTCTTTGAAATTTTTGTACTTATATTTTTTTTTTCAGGCAAGAAAACATATAAAATAAAAAAAGTAACAAATTGTACAACTGATAAGGCTATTTATGTAGCAAAGGCTTTAAGATTCGTTAGCCAAACTTGATATTCTTCATTAATATATTATGCTTTGCTTTATTTCCTCTAAACTTCTTTTATATTATTAAAAAAATTGCTTGAATGAATGTACACTAACAGTTGCTGAATATGTTTGTCTGCTTATGAGCTCTTTAACATGGAATGAAATTGTTTTTATAAATACTTATGCATGCAGACCAAATGGAGATCCTCTTACTGTGGTTAACAAATGTATTGAGAGCTTAGAAAAATTAGTAAATTTAAAGACCAGTGCTGACCGTGCATTATATATTGGATCTATAGAAAGATTACAATTAGCTGTTTGCTCTGAAGGTGAGTCAATTTATTATTAAGAATTAATACTTTTAATTTGGCCTTTATTAAAGCCACAAAAATATAGGTGTAAAAATGTTTTACTAATTATTAAATATAATAATCATGTTTTATTTTTTAAATATTTATTTCATGTTTTACTCTTATCAGATTAATATCAAGGCTCTTTTCCATACTTTAATTTTCCAGTAACCTGTTAGTTAAACTCTGTATTTTGAATTACATCATAAGATTTTCATTAAACCTACTAGTAATAGAAGTGTGCACATTTCTACATTTAAAGTAAGGAATTTAAACATTAATTTAAAGAAACAATAAAGTAAAACAAAAAAAAAAAAACAGTTTTATTTTATTTGTTTATTTACTTATTATTTTTTTAATTAAGCTATATAAATATTTGTAACAATTAGTGCATTTATATACGTATGAATGTCTAAAAATATTTCTTGAAATGCTGCAGTTTTCATTAAATATTAAACTGGATATCTGTATATAAAAGTGTGTGATGTTTTATGCATTTGCTTTACGCATTATGACTGAGTTGGATGTTCTTTATAATTTAAAGCAGGTTTAATTCCCCCTTCCCAACTTAACATCCATAGTGGATCTTTTTTAAGCAGTCTCATTTGTTTATTCTGCTTTGGAACTATGCCATTTTCTCATCTGGTTTCATTTATTTCATAAATTTGGTAAATAATTGTAACATTCACTTTTCTTCCCTAATTACTTTTCACTGTTGATGTGTTTACTGATATCTGTGCTAAGGACTAAAATAAATAAATTTAAAATTCTTAGCAGTTTCTGAAAAAGTAATTTTAAGTGAAATCTAAATTCCTTTTACAGTTCAAATTTTGTATAGTATATAACACTACTTACATAGCATATCTTTGAGCATTTATTACTGCTGAATTTTAATTTTATTTTTAAATGTTGTGACTGAAAAAGATTGCACTTCAGGAAATGTTTGAGGTGTGTTTTTTTTATTCCTCTTTTTATCTGGGTAAGTAGGTAACATTAAGAAAGTTAATTAAATTATAAAGCAAAAGCCAGACAAGCAAAACAAAAAATAAGTACAAAAATGAAAGAAACAAGCTTTGTACTTGTCATATAAACAAGAAATTTTGAATTTAAGCAAAGTTAGAAATTTGTGTGATCTAAAAATAAATTTAGGTTTAACTGTTAACTCTTTTTTTTTTTTTTTTTTTTTTTTTTTTTTTTTCTCTGGTTTAATGCCATTAGTAGTGCTCTTAAATTTTAGCATAGGTATTATTTTTGTAATAAAATAACCTTCTTTTGTTTATCTATACAATGAAACCTATTAAAAGTGGTATCATTAAATATTTTTATTAGTTACTAATGAATATTAATTACATTGCATAAAACATCTTGCTATTTAATAACTAAAGTTGGACATACAGAAATAAGCAGGTAACACCATCTATAGCAACAGATGGCCTCTGTGCTTGACATATTGTATGCTTATAATCTCTAGCAAGTGAATTGATTGTCAAACAAAATGCAAATAAAATATTGTAAAATGCATACCATTATAATGTAGTAAGTTATTAAGTTTGAAATGTTCAAAGTGATTTGTGTAGTTTTTATAGACATATTATTTTAAGAATAACAATGTAGTTAGCTTCCAGTTTATAGTTTCATTGTTTTATTGTGAGCATAAAGCAATATTACACAGTTCAGAAATTTATTATTGTAAGAGATTAGAGAACTGAGCTATTATACATTGGCTGAATTCAAATGTTGAATTGCAGATTTCTCTGTACTGCAGAAGTATCTATAGAGATACTATAACTGCTACAGCGAATACAAATACAAACATAATCTACAGAGAGTATATAAGGAAGTGGGGTAAGAGGATTTAGGTTTGAGCCATTAACCAACTTATTTGCTATGTACATTATTTTAGATAAATTATTTTATTTTCAGTGCAGAAGAATATTTTTCTATTTAATAATTAAAGATGGAAAGTGGTTAGGTATAGGTAACCCAGATGGTATAGTGGTTAGGAAAGCCTACTATGGTACTGAAGAGCCCGCGTTTGAATCCCGGAGAAGACATGGATGTTTTTAAATGTCTCTAAATATGCTGCGAGCTGAAAGTCCTCTCGTGGAAGGGAAAAGGGGTGGGAGACCCCTGGATCCTTCCCCGTGGTGCTCTCCCTCAAAATGGGGGGTGGAAAATAGAAGTCCAACTTCTCTTCGGAGTAGGCTCTGGGAACCATTGTTCCATGTAATATGGATACGACAACAACAACAGATGGAAAATTAAATATGGACCAACTTCCCCTACCTTTCAGCAATTTGTTTATGTCAGTTTAGATACGTTACTTTATGTTCCAGTTTATACTGATAGCCTGGTATTCATTCAAATTATTTCTATTAATTGAAATTATTAAATGCTGTATTTACATTACTAATCAGATAGCAATTAAAAAATTGGAATTACTGAATTTAGTGATATACTGAATCATTAGATTAAACTGTTGAGACTAGAAATAATCTCAAGCTGGAATTACTTTATCATATTGTTTGAATTTGTTTCATATTTTAAAAATTTAGTGTATAACAAAATGTTTTTACTGAAAATTAATGTGATAGTTTCATGCAATTATTTTTAATGGTGAAACTTAATAATTTTTAAATATTTCAGAAAGTGCAATGAAACACTTTGTAGCAAGTTACACAGGTGGTATACCACTTTTAGTATCAATTTTAGAGGTGAGCATTCCTGTGAACTACTACAATTTTCCCACAGACTTTAGAATATTTTTTTAATTGTCATGTACTTTTAATTTAAAATTACTTTTGGAATTCCTTTTTTTTAGAAGAGCCAAGATCAACACATAAGGCATTTTGCAATTTTGATTATGGAAAAAATGCTGTTACATAAATCAGGTAAGTGTGAAATTAATAAATAGTTCTTTCATTTAAATATTTTTAACATCCTCAACAAAAAAATAAAAACTGAAAATTTTATGTTTTCAAATGACTTTTTACACTAGAGCAGATGAATTTTATGCTGCAGAATAGCTTATCCAGTTTTTAAAAAGAATATTATTCTTTATTAGAGACTAAATTACTCTTGCATTATAAAAATCTTTTGATTTAGAAGACTGTGTAGTAACTTATTAGATATTTTATTATAATTTCTAAATGCAATTTTTGTGTTATTATTGTTTGCCATATCATGAAATTCTTATGTGTTTCATCTAAAACATCAAAACATACTTGATTAATGTAATTTGAGGGGGAGGAGAAATAGACAGTTTTTCTTTCCTTGCAGGCAAAAAACTATTTTCTACTTTTTAATAAAAGTGGCCACTGCTTAAGCCTTTAGAGATATTTCAAATTTGTAATTTACAGATCGGAAGATTAAGTTTACTAATTTCTTATGGACTAAGTGCGGTAGCCACTTAAACATGGAATTACCGTTGTTTTTATTATAAGAAAATATTTTCACTTAGAAGATTAGACAAATTATTAAATATTGTCATAAAAGAATTATTATAAAGTAATCTCTTAAGTAATAAAAATTCTCCTTTATTGATTACAGTTCTTGCATTTATGTGGAATTTAAGTTTACAAAAAGTTCTCTATAGATATGCATCAAACAATCATCTACTCATTTGCTTCGTGAAAAATTACATAAATGTGGAATGAATAGTTGAATGCAACCAAATTCATCTACTTACTGCAAAACTAAAATTTGGTCTAACTTAATAATAGAAGAATCTCTCATTTAACTTAAATTTTCATAAGCACTTTTTTTTAATTAACTTAGTGTATACGTTTCAACCAATTTTTATTTGACGTGAGGTGAATTTCACTTAACATGATTCAAACAATATTTTTATAGAGGTTTAACTTTAAACTGCGCATCATATATTGGGTCATATAAGAAGTCTTCGCTCTCTTTTTTGCTACTAGATGGTATTCATGCCTATATATCTGGCAGCACTCACCTGATTGTCTCAAACAAACATGTGCTTAAAAAGGTGACATTCATCTTCCATTGTTTGTCAAGATAGTTTTCTAATTTGTTGCTCATATCACAAGTTATATTGATTTGAAAATGAGTGAAATATCTGAAGAAATATGGTACGTGATGCTTTTTTACTATTAAAAAGGTAAAAACGCTTCAGAAGCATGCCAAAAAATTTGTGAAGTGTATAATGAAAATGCTGTGAGTGAACGAAGGACCCAGTAGTGGTTTGCTTGATTCCATTTCCTGAAATTTCGATGTCAAGATTGGAAGGGAATTGCCCATTACAAGTTGCTGCATCCTGATGAAACCATCAGTTCGGCTCTGTACTGTACACAAGTCGACCATTTGTACGAAGCAGTCCAGAAAGGGCAACCAGACTTGGCCAACAGAAAGGGAGTTGTGGTCCATCATGACAATGTGTGGCTACACACAGATTTGACGACTCAGAACAAACTGACAGAACTTGGTTGGGAAGTTTTAATGCATCCACCGTATAGCCCAAGCTTTGCACCATCAATGGACTTTTACCATTTGTTTTGGTCTCTGCAAAACTCTCTTGATGGTAAAAATTGGCCGACCAAAGCGCCACTGAAAATCACTTGGTTAAGTTTTTTTTGACAATAAACTGCAGAAATTCTACACTGATGGAATTATGAAGCTTCCCAAAAAAGGCCAAAGGTCATAGATAATAATGGTCAATATGTAGTTGATTAAAATTGATTTTTAATAAAGAAAATTTATGTTAAAAAATGTACCAAAAAAAGCACGGCGATTTTTTATTTTTTAATTTGTATGCTTGATTTCAAAGATCTATTTCTACATCTTAATCAAATAAATTATTATGATTATGTTGGATTTAGTTAACAAATAATCACAATTGTTGGGGGAATTGTGGTCATTATATATAAATTAAGTTACAGTGAAGGAGTTTCGACAAATGTACAGAAATTTCTTAACTTGCCTCACAAACAATGATCTCCTTGACATGTATCAATAGCAAACATATGAATTTGATGATAACCAATTTGAAAGGAAAACTTTCCCAGAAATGGCATGAATATAGAACAATACAAACTGCAAAATAATTAAAACTCAAATTATGGATTATATCAGGTTTTAACGAAAGTTTCCTCTCTCTGCAAATATCGTCTGTGCAGACAATTCATGTTGGCATATTTAATCATATTTCGTCAAATGATATTTGGCATTTGAAGGAAAAAGACTTCTTTAGAAAAACTTTGTTGTGATGTTTGTAAAAAAAATATCGTTATCATTAAGAACAAGGTGTCTGAAATGGAACTACCAGATTATAACTATCATTTACTTCCAGTTCTATTGCAAAAAGTCAGCTACAGAATGTCACGAAATCATGTGCACAGCTTTAGGTGCTAATGTTATAGCATATGACACTGTGAAGGTTTGGTACCAAAAGTTCAAAAACAAGGACTATGACAATAAAAAGCCAAGTCTGTCTACTGATGTTGATGAGGCCCACATGGGAGAACTTGTGAAAGAAGATCATCATGCAACCACTTGAGAGCTTGCTAAGAAGTTAGATGTTAGTGCCATGTCTATTAGCCATGATGTGCATCATATAAACTTGACGTACAAGTTCAATCCCTGGGTGCTGCATGAGCTGAATCAAGCAGATAAGGATAGAAGTGTTTGTGGGCCTGCACTAATCTGCTCAAATATCAAACAATTACACAATTCTGGACTGGATTGCTTTCTTGTGATGAAAAGTGGATTTACTTCAACAGCTTTGTATGTGGTGGGATTGCCATGGTATTATCCACAAAGAGTATTTGGAAAAAGGTAAAACCCTCAACTGTAATGTGTATGAGATACTAGTCCATGTTGATGCTGCTATCAAAGAAAAATGTCAAACTGAGTTCCTGCGCAAAAGATATTGTTCCATCATGGTAATGCAAGGTCACACGTGTCTGCATTCACCGTCAGAACTCTGTATGGATTCAGATGGGATCTTTTGCCACACCCACAACATAACTCCAACATCTCTCCTTCAGATATCTATCTTTTTCTATACCTGTAGTTACATCTGGTTGGTGCTATCTTCCATTCTGCACAGGACATCGGAAATGAGGTTGATCTTTTTGGACTCGCAGGGCCGAAGGCTTTGAAAAACTATCAAAATGTTAGCAGGAAATCGTAGATTTGGGTGGTGATTACTACCCACACTAAAGATGCTGCTTTCATGGGTTCCCCCCCCTAACTTTATTAAGAAAGTTTTTGGCAGAAAACTTTCGTTACAACCAGATAATCATGTATTCTAAAATGGGAATGAAATTAAATTTTACTGAATCATAGTTTTCTGAAGATCATTTCATCCCCCCCTAAATAAGATGACTTAAAATGTTTACATTACATTTGACATTCTAAAATGGTGGGTAAATGTAAATTGCACTTTTTGCGTGTATTATTTATAAGTAGCTTTTATGAAATCTTTGCTATTTTTTGTTAATAAGTGTGTAGAGTTAATTTCTACTGAATTAATTTTTAAATTCAAGGGAAAAAATTGGCCATTGTATTATAAAAATAATCTACCTAATTTATTTGATAATATTTGTAAGCTCTTTAAATCGGCACATCCATTTCCTAAAACTTGTCATTTTTAATCTTTACAGAAAGGAAATTACTGTTAAAAGCATACAGTTTTCTTTTCTTTTTCTGTATTGCTTTTTATAGGAGGAAGTGAATATGCCCAGACCTTTGTGCTTCATGGGGCTGTGGATCATTTGTTAAAACTCATTGTAAAATGCCAGTTATCATGGGGTGATGACTTTATTTGCTCTTTGTATAGAGTAACAGTCAAAGTTAGTGAAGAAGGTAATTTACATTTTACATTTAAAGAGAGTATTAGACTTAGAAACAACATTTATGTACCTACTTCTTTTATAAAAATCTTTCCTATAGTTTTATTATAAATAACTAAAAATGTTCTCAGTTTTTAATGTAATATAAATAAGTCCGTAACTAGTGCTTATAGAAGTAATTTATGATAATTTGATATTTTTTATAAAAAAACATAAATTCAAAACATTTAATATATTTTAGATAAAAAGTTTGCTGTGAAAGCTAGATTTTTGGGAGTGTTGCCAGTTATAGTGTCTCACATAAAGACATATGCCAAAAGATACAAGGTTTTGAACATAATACTGAAGCTGCTGAAGAAGATCATGGCAAGTTGTATGTGTTTCCATTTGTAGTTCTAGCATATTTTAAACCAGTGGTTCCCAAACTGTATTCTATGTCCTCTTCACAGGGATGCCATGAAATATTGTAAAGCTTTATAATTAATTTAACCAAGATATTCAGCCTAACTAAACACAAAACAAAATAAGAAGCTAAAAATATCTAGATTTCTTTTGTGTGGTTTTCCGGCAATGCTGCACCTTCTTGATTGCACCATATAATTTTGTCATGACAATCTTAATGAGAGAAAATGTACAAGGCTGGGATCACCTTTTCACAACTCTTTCCATAAAAAGAAACGGTACTACTTTGGTAGACGGTTGCACGGATTTTTGGCGATGTACGTTGGTGCAATTGTTGGCACGGTTTTTACAGTCATCAGCCATCTTGAAAAACGCCGTTTTTACGTATTTCACGAAACTTAAAAAAAAATAAATAAATAAATATCGTTAAAAATAATGGATTAATTTTTTGTTGAAAAGGTTGTTTTTTAAGATGGCTGGCAAATGTAAATAAATACATTTACTAAGAGTAAAATGCTAAAATGCTAAAGTAAGATTAAATTATTACTTTCATATAATAGAATAAAAACATTGCGCCAACATTTAATTGGAATAAAATATTATTTAAATTGAATATTGAATTAAAATCATCATAGCAATGTTTACAAAAAAAAAAATTAAAAATTTTTTCAGTTAATTAAATTCAAATCCTTTAAAAATAAGTTTTATAGGATTTAATTATTTAACATTAAAACTTATGTGGCAATAAATATCTCAGGAATTTTTTGAAACAGTATATTAATTTTTAATAAAAATTGAAGTATACAATTTTAAAGTAAAAGCAAAATATGTACTTACATTTTTTATAAAGTATTTTACCTGTTGTATATTGATAAGTACCAGAAAAAAAAAAAAAAAAAAAAGATCTTCATCTGTGATCTACGTCTCTCGCACTTCATCGAAGAAGCAATTAGCGAGGTTTCCTCCAAAAATTTAAAATAAATTTCCTCTGACCCTTGTAACAATAAATAAATTTTTGATTAGGAAAGCAAGGTTGGCCAAAATAAGGTCTCAAATGGCAAATTTTTTTTTATTCCGATACCAATAACAACATTCATATTCAAAATGGACACATCCATTCGCTTTGAAATCTGAGGAATTCGAAGAGATGAATAATAAAATTTTAAAATGGCATGGTCATGCACAAATATTCAGTAACCAATCAGGGAGCTGATTACATCAGGCATAGAATTAAAATTATTTAAATAATCATTCATAATAAAATCATATTTACAAAAATGCAAAATTAAATTGTATTTTAATATTTAACAGCCATAAATAATGTTTAAAACATTAGATTAAATTTATAGATATTAAAAACCAATTACTTTTAAAATAATGTGACATCATTCATTACATCATTCACAACATAAAATATCGTAAACAATAAAATTTTTATTTCAAATAAAAATGCAAAATTAAATTCATTTTTATTATTTTGAAGTCATAAATAATATTTAAAACATGGAATTTATGCATAATTAAACACAATATTTTTTAAATAAAATGACAACAAAGTATCGGTTACCATAAATAACTTGTCCAGCAATGGGTTTAACATAAGTCGTATCGCTCGCCAAAAACAAATCGCCAAAATCCGTGCAACCGTCTACCAAAGTAGCACCAAAGAAACGGTACCATGAACTTTTTCGTATTGCTGCTAAAGTTAGCTTATCATGTTGTTTGATTTGGGTTCACATGTACCGAATTTCAGAGGTAGTTTTTTCCTCTAGGCAAAAATCCACTGTTTTCTTTCAGGTTGGATTTCATGTGATTTATGCTTGTCACAGAAATCCCAGTCAAATCAGCTGCAAAAGTAACTATTTCATTGCAAATTAAGTAGGAAAAGGCTCCTTTAACAGAAACATTCATGGAGATAATCTTAGTGGAACTGCAGAGTGGTTTTCCAGCCTCATGAGGTTTTGAAATAATATTGTTACGAATTTGGTATTTAAAATGCTAATGTTAGTTCAGTTATAAATTAAATGGTTTTATTTCTGGCGCAGTGCAGCGCGTGACGAATATTAAAAGAAAGCTAAGCCAAAAAAAAAAAAAAAAATTTAAAAATATAAGAGCGTGTGCGTTAAATAAATAATATCTCTTTTTCTCTTTTTGATTTCGAGAAAGTGGGAAAATTCTAGCGCGTGATTTTAAAATCTTATAAAAGGAGAACATCTCAGTTGTAGTGTTGTTTAGTTTGTTGTTGTTTAGAAAACTACTGTTGTTGATTTAGCGAATTCGCGATTAGCTTCTTTAGCTGTTTTGAATTACGTTCTATTGGACATTTGAGTAGTTAAAAGATAACTACTGCGAGATATTCTAATACTGCATGAATAATTGAGAAAATTTAAGCTTTTTTGTTGTGATAATAATAATTTTTGTTTCATTTTTATCGACTTGTGCATTCATTTCATAACGAACCCGTACGCACGCAA